ACTTAGTGGATTTTTGTTGTTACTGTTTCTAAAATTATTTTGAGATATTTATAGAGTCACAGGAAGTTGTAAGAAATAGCACAGAGATAATGAGATTCAGAGGAAGTTGCAAAAATAATGCAACCCAGTTTTCCTCAATAGTGACATCTTACTTAATTGTAGTTCAATATCGAAACCAGGAAACTAGTACTTTTACAGTATGTGTCTATTACTCTGTGACATTTTATTATATATGTAGATCTGTCTATACCACCTCATTCAAGATGCGTAAGTATTCATCATTACACAACTCTACCTTGTGCTGCCTCTGTATAGTTGCATCTGTCTCACTACTCCCCACACCCTGCCATCCATCCTTAACCTCTGGCAACCACTTGGGTCTCCATTTTTAATGTTTGTTGTTGTATGAGATAGTCTAGTAATATATCTTTCAAAAGGGGAAATCTTTCTAAAGTAGAAACTACAACCTTATGAGGTCTTCAGAAATACTTTTTTAAGTTTCTTTAGAATGGAGGGCTCCAGTGGAGTTTAAACCCATTTGTTCCCAAATAATGTATCATCTTTCAACCCCCACAACAGAATTTTCTTAAAGTGGGAAAGCATTTTCCCATTAAAAAATTATGCAGAAATGTAAGATTGGACAGATTTTCTAAAAACTCAACATTTTTAAATCTGAGGAGTCATAAAAACACTAATGGTGCTGGGAATGTAGCTCAGTAGTGGAGCTCTTACTCAGGGTATATGAGGTACTGGGTCAATCCCCAGCACCAAAAAAGAAGAAAAACATTGAAGTTTTTTAAATGTAAAAAATGAAGATAATAGTTTTGTCTGGCTTTCTTATTTATCATGATAAATTATAATGATAAGGACACTTAGATTGTATAAAGCACTTAGATATTACCTAGTAATATCTGTGTTAACTATTTTATTGCTATTACTTCACTTCCTTAAAAAAATAGACATTTGTTCTCAGGATGGAAAGGACTTTTTTTTAAAAAATAAAAAACAGGCTTACAAGAAGACCAGGAGGATGTTTACATAAGTTTTCTTTGAGTGGTGGGCTTGTAGGTGATTCACATCCCCTCTTCACCCCTTTTCTCAATATTTAGCAACAAACATAGCCACATAGGGAAATTAAGGCAATAATGTATAGAAAGAAGCACATATACATAGTTTTGATAATATTTATGGAAGTGATACAATGCTAATGGTAATATAATTAGAAGGCAATTTGACAAGTGTCAAAGCCTTGAAAAGGTAATATGCTCTTTTTTATTTTGTACCGGGGATCGAACTCGGGTCCTTGGGCTTTCGAGGCAGGTGGTGGAACCACTGAGCTAAATCCCCAGCCCTAGTAATATGCTCTTTGACTTAGTGATTTCACTTCTAGGACTGTATTTTTAGGAAATGATCATAAATATCAGAAAAGATGCAACATTACTTAGGAAAATGAAATCAGCCTTATGTAAAGGTGTATAATTGTTGTTTTTGGGGGGGGGGGTTGGTACTGGGGATCGAACTCGGGACCTTGTGCTTGCAAGGCAGGAGGCAGAACCACTGAGCTAAATCCCCGACCCTAAAGGTGTATAATTGGAATTAAATTCTATATTAAATGACTACTTTTGAGTGGTTTGATAAGTTTAATAATTTGATGGACCCTGATTATAGATTATAAATTGGGAAATTTTATTAATGGGTTAAGAACATACTGAATATTTATGGATTTAATCCTAGGGATTTTGCCCCAAACTACATCTTTATGTAGATGTCTAAGTATGCTGTGGTTTTAGAAAAAACAAAAATGCAGCCACAATTTGCTGCTTTTTCATTGCCATATAATAATCAGCTTATATTAATTGTGTCTAAACATTGTCTTTCCAGACACAGTGAATATGAAATGAACATGTATCTAGGCTGAGTACCAAGCAGTATTTTTAGTGTATACTTGCTCTTGTTAATTATTTTTTCAAATTTGAAAGTTCTCATCTAATCTTAGAAGTTAGTAATTCATATCTCCAGAGCATTCACTGCTTATCTCCTTTGTTGAAACAGTAATTGTTATCATTCCTCAGTATTCCTTGTTCTTATCTCAAGTCCTATATGCCTCCAAAATACCTTAAATCAGCCAGGGATTTAGCTCAGTGATTCCTCTGCCTGCCTCGTAAGCACAAGGTCCTGAGTTTGATCCCTGGTACCAAAATATCTTAAATCAACCACTTTCTTCAATATGTACTGACAGCACCCTCAATGAGGAACATTAGTCATTTTTTCCCTCTTTGAAGTATTGTAGTATTATAACTATTTTCTCAATCTTCCGTGACTGAGTCCATTCCTTTTCATTTGTTTCAGTTTTGTTTTATTGAAGATAGGTGTGTACTATGTTTACGAAGTTGCATATTCTCCTAAGAAACAAAGTATAGAAATGCCCTATCCCTTTTAGTCTCATTATTCCAGCCTGTACTGTTTTTTTTTTGTTTGTTTTTTTGTTAAAGAAAAGCTAAATCCCCGGCCCTAGTCTGGACTCTTGACTCCCACTCTCCAATGCCTTAGCTATTCCTCCTTGGAGCAGTTTATGTCCATTTTCAAATACCAGTACTATAGCTAAATGCTTGTTGTTTCTTGATTTTTCAATTTTAGATATATGTTGATTCTACTATAGAAGATCATTTTACTCTTATATTTCCCCCACCAGCACATTTACACAATTCACTTCTCTTTCTTTTCCCCATGTAGTTAGTTCAGTTTTGACTGTATAGCTATATTCTTTAGAGTAGTACTATGATTACTTACTCAAATTTTGTTTTTCTTGAACTAAGAATTTACTTTAGCTCTCTGTATCTGTCACTGATTTTCTTCAAGAAGTGAGTGTAGTGTATCCCTTTTCTTCATGTGTTGAAATATGTCAAGACTGGTTTCATGTTTTCTGAGCCCTAGTGCACCCCCAATATCTCTGCTCTGGCTCCACTCAAGGATGCTCTTCTTAATGTCCCAGGATCACCTTTCACTTTTCATTAGGGGATTTCCAATGTGTTCTTTCTGTGTTGTTCCTCAGATTCCTGGATCTCTTCTTCCTCTCCCCCTCTCCCCCTCTCCCCCTCTCCCTCCCCGTTTTGGTTCCAGGGGTTGAAGCCTGGACCTTGAGCATGCTAAGCACACACTCTGCCACTCTCAGATACCACCCTCACCTCCTTCCCTTTTCTTGGCTAGTTTGTTTTGTAAAGCACAGATTTTACTAGTTTCCTAAGAATAAGTGCAGGAAAGGCAATTCTGTGAAATGTTTGTGCCTGAAAATGCTTATAGTCTTCTTTACTACTCAATTGATGTTTTCTTGGATATAGAATTCTTGGATTTTGAAAGCATTGCTTCAGTTGTCTCATAACTTCCAGGATTTTATGATCTCTTTTTCTCCATTGACCTGCATTTTTTTTTTTTTTTTTTTTTGTGGTACCAGGGATCAAACTTAGGACCTTGCACTTGCGAGGCAGGCAGTGGCACCACTAAGCTAAATCCCTGGTCCTGTCCTGCAAATTTTTGATTCTGTGCTTTGGCTTGCTTTTGTTTTGTGTTGTGTTGTTGTTGTTGTTTTCAATCTGTTGTACCAAACACTAGGCAGGTCTTGTCTTGATTTTTAAGTTCTGGGATATTTTATTGAATTATTTTTTGATGTTACTTTTCTCCATTTTCTTGTTACCTCAGTGTTGATTTTTGCTCCTACTTTTAGATTTTTGTTTAAAAGATTTTGTCACCTTTATCTCATAACCTTTCTATTGACTTTTTCTCTTATATTTTTTCATTTCCAGAAGCTCTTGTTTTCCTTCAGTATTTCTTTCACTATACCTTCCTTCTTTGGGCTGACAAGTATGTTTTCTCATCTGCCTGACAGTATAATTACATGTCTGGTCTTTTCCTTGTCTCAGTTTTCTTCTGATCCTTGACCTAACTCGAAAATTTTTTTCTTTTTTCCTATAGATTCTGTTTTCCTATGGTTGTGGCTATATTACAAAGAGTTAGTAACTTATATGGATCCCTGAGTCCCTTTGGCAAACTGAAGCCTATGGACAAAAATTCTTTTTTTTGTTGTTTTTTTGAGACAGGGTCTCACTATGTGTACCTCAGGCTGACCTCGAACTCACAGGGATCCTCCTGCCACAGCCTTCTGAATTCTAGGATTACAGGTGTGCACCACCATGTCCAGTTCCAGAAACTCATTTTCAAAATCAAATGAAATCAATTTTATTACAATACACTTACCAGTATTCTTTAAGTGATTGTTTGGTAGTAAGTGAGATTCTTTATTAACACATTGAGTAAGATGTAGAGGTGGGTCTTACAACTATCATAACTTTGGAGTAATGACTATAAATTATATTTTGAGATATTTGCACTAACTGTAATGTGATAAGAAAATAGCTCTGATTTTTTAAAAAATTGGTGACAGTCACATGTATAGCCAGAACCACTATAATCTATAATTTATTTTTAAAAAGAAATGTCTCAGTTCAGTTAGAGGTTGGTGTAGAATAAAAAGTGATTTTGTTTTTAAACATCCAAGTTCTGATGCCCTTTGAATTCTATTGATCAAATATTTGAAATCAATGACTTGTCAGCTCAGACTAAGATACATAAAAGCTGATTGTGAGAGCCCCAAATAACTGAATGGGGCTTGACAACTAGTAGTCTTTACTCTTAAGTTGAGAGATGCTAAGCTTTCAGTGACTGCACCTTTCCTCTTGGGGTTCAAATCTCTCCAGAGAAGAATCCATCAGTATTCTGCCTATGGATGAAAAGTTTGCCCCTCTTCTTTTAGACACCTAATTTCGCTCTCCTATATTCTAATAAAATTTACTTTTGTGATTTTTCTGAATGGCTATCAAATGAATTATGTTCTTTCCAGAAAAGAACAGAAATTATCTTTAATGTTTTAAAATCCTTAATACGACAAGAAAACTGAGCTGTTCTTAATATTTAATTTACATTTAATTTGCACCTTGATGTTACAGGAGCTCTCAAGTTGTGGATGGAATAAAAAAGAAAAATATAGTTCTGCACCAAATGCAGTGGCCTTCACAAGAAGATTTAATCATGTGAGTTATTTTAAAATTTTTGAGATTTAGTTTCTGAAATTAGTTTCTGAAATATTGTATATATTCATCATCTTTGTTTTTTTCCTTTCAAAACACTGTTGAAAATTTGTTAGAAGTTGACATTCTTTGCTGCTTGTCTATTGACTATTCATTGTTTTTCCATCTGTCTCTTTATGTTTCATTCTGGTTCCCTCAAATTTATACTTCAGTTCACTAATTCTCTTCAAACATGTTTTATCTGTTTCATACTAACTACTTTTACCCTAGTTATGTTTGTATTTTTAGCTTCTTAAATAATTCTGAACATTAAAATTTTTTGGGCCAGGGATTTAGCTCAGTGGTGCCACCGCCTACCTCACAAGTGCAAGGTCCCAAGTTGGATCGCTGGTACCAAAAAAAAAAAATTTTGTTTATCTTTATGGAGTACGTTATGATAATTTAATACATGTGTATTAATCAAATCAGGGTTATGAGTATTTCTGTCTCCTCAATGATAAATGATTTTTATGTGTTGGGATTTCATATTCTTCTGGTCATTTTGAATTATATCATAGGTTGTTTTGGCCAATTGTTATCTGACTGTGCAAAAGAAGAACCAGGAGTTGTTACTGCAGTCTGTGTTGTTGGTGCTGCTTATTGAATTTTTCTGCTATTCTTCCCAGTATTCCTGTATTTAATGACCATTATTCCATTCTGTTCTTCTATAAGGTTGACTCACTGATTTCCACAGATGAGTGAGAACATGTGGTATTTGTCTTCCTTTGTCTGGCTTATTTCATTTAACATAGTGATCTCCAGTTCCATCCACATTGCTGCAAATGACATGATTTCTTTCTTTCTTTTTTTTTTTTAATAATGTTCCATGATGTAAATAAACCAGTTTATCCATTCATCCACTGAAGAGCATCAGGGTTCATTCCGTACTTTTGACCATTGTGAATAGTATTATAATAAATGTGGCAGTACAAACTAATATCTTTTTGATATAGAACTTTTGACTTGTTTGGCTAAGTTTCTTTTTTTTTTTTTGTAGCTATTGTGAATGAGATTGCTTTCTTAATTTCTTTTTTAGCAGGTTTGTTAGTTGCATGTAGAAATGCTTTTGTATGTTGATTTTTTTTATCATAATTTACTGGGTTCTCATGATTTTTAATGGAATCCTTTTCTACATATAGAATCATGTGATCCACAAACATGGATAATTTAACCTTATTCTTTTCAATTTAGATGTCCTTTATTTCTTTCACCTAATTGCACTTGCTGAGCCTTCTAGTACTATAGTAAGAGTGGTAAAAGTGGGCATCTTTGTCTTAGTCCAGATCTTAGAGGAAATGCTTTTTCTCCATCCAGTATGATATTGGCTCTGAGTTTTTCAATACTTTTGAGGTATTTTTCTTTCTATACCTAATTTGTCAACTTTTTATCATGAAGAAATGTTTTATTAAATAATTTTTCTGCATCTGTTGATATCATTTTTTTTGCCTCATTCTATTGATGTGTTATATCATGTTGTATGGATTTGTCTGTTTTTAATGCATCCTAGGATGAGTCCCATCTGATCATGGTCTATGATCTTTTTGATATGCTGTTTAATTTTATTGAGATTTTTTATATCTGTTCAGGGATATGGCTCTGTAGTTTTCTTTCTTTTTTATCTTTGGTGTAAGGGTAAAGCTGACCTCATTTAAAGACTGTGCCAGAGTAAATTTGTATATATTTATTTTTAAGTTTTTTTATCAGTATATATTTGTCATACATAATGAGCACATTCGTCATAGGGAATTTGTACCTGTACATAATACAGTATGTATATCTTAATTCTTCCTCTTCTCATTCCCCTCCCCTCTTTTCAAGCTTTTAGTTTTTTCTTTAATGTTTTGTAGAATTCAACTGTGAAGCCATCAGGTCCTATGCTTTTTTAAAATGCGAGATTTTTAAATTACTATTTCATTCTATTTACTAATTATTGGCCTGTTTCAATTTTTTATTCTTGATAAAATTTTGGTGAGTCGTGTTCACTTTTTGTTTGTGGTTAGTTTACCAAAGTTTTGTCAGTTTTGTTTAGCTTTCAAAATCCCAGCTCTGGTTTTGTTTGTTTTTCGTGGTACTGGGGATGGAACCCAGGGTCTTTACACTGAGTTAAATCCCAGTCCTTTTTAATATTTTATTTTGAGACAAAGTCTCACTAAATTTCCCAGGTGGGGCTCAAATTTGCAGTCCTCTTAGCTTAGCCTCCCAGAGTCCTTGGTTTATAGGCGTTGTACCATCAGTTTTGTTGCTCTCTTCTTTTGTTTGTTTTTATATGTAGTTCAGATTGTATTTCTGCTCTTTATTATTTCTTTCCTTCTACTAATTTTGGGTTTGCCTTCCTCTTGCTTTCCTAAGTCTTTGAGGTTCATTGTTAGGTTGTTTGAGATCTTTCTAGTTTTTTGATGTATACATTTATTGCTGTAAACTTTACTCTCAGTATTGCTTTTGCTGTATTATACAGACTTTAGTATTTTATGTTATCATTGTCCTTAATTGCTGGAAAATTTTAAATTTTTTCTTTTAATTTCTTCCATTACCCATTGGTCATTTAGGAACATGTTATTCAATCTCCATGCATTTGTAGAATTTTTATTTTTCTTGTTGCTTTGTAGTTTTAATTGGTTGTGGTCTGAGAAGATAGAAAATATGGTTTCATATTTTTTAAATGATGGAGTCTTGATTTGTAGCCTAATATGTGTTCTGTGCTGAGAGTGTTCTGTGTGCTGGTAAGAAGAATGTGTATTTTGGTACTGTTGGATAAATGTCTCGTAGGTCAATTTGCTCTATAGTAGGATTCATTTTAGATGTTTCTTTGATGCCTTTCTGTTTAGATGATCTGTCCTTTGAGGAAAATGGGATGGTGAAGTCCCCCATTGTTACTGTACAGTATTTGAGTCTATCTCTCTTTTTAGATCTAATATTGGCTCTGAGTATTTTGTGATCCCATGTGGGAAGCGTATTGACATTTTATAGTTTCTGGGTTATTACTTGAAGTCCTTGGAGTACTGCTTCTCTTTATTTCTGCAACTCCTTACAAAGGTTGTTAGATATATCTTGGATATATTGCTCCATTTTTTTCTTCTGGCACAGACTATCACTGCTGAAAAGTGTGACAATAATTAAATTGTCTTTTCTCTAAAAATCATTTTTTCTAGGTGACAAAAAAAAATTTTTTTTGAGACAGAGTCTCACTGTGTAGTTGAGGCTGGCCTTTAATTCACTATTGTAGGCCAGGATGGGCTCGAACTCAGTGATTCTCCTGCTTCAGCTTCCTGAATGCTGGGATTACAGGCATGTACCACCATGACCAGCCAAATTTTTTTTTTTTAAGTCTAGCAATTTTATGTTTTGGTTTTAGTTACTCTGGGTCAGTATTCTTAGGTGTGGTTGGGTTTAACTGGGGCTGTCAGTTGGAAAATACCTACACTTAGCCTTTCCAGCATCGTGGTCTCAGGGTGATTGGGCTTCTTACATCATAGCTCCAGGCTCCAAGAGTGAATATTCCAGCAATCAAGGTAGGGGTACAAGGTCTTTTATGATTTCCCTCTGGAATTCCACATCAGTTTTTCCAATACTTTTTCATCAAAGCAATCACAATCATGCCTAGATTTAGTGAAAGGTAACAGCTTTTGATGAGAGCAGTGGCAGAGAATTTGTATTTCAAAATCACCATAGTATTCATCTTAAAAATTGTCTGCCATTAAATTTAAGTAATCATACAATGTAGATTTGAATTCATAGTTGATTTTTGCCAAGGTTATTGTTAAAATATCTTAGCTGGTAGTGTAGCTCAGTGGCAGAGGACCTGACTTACATGTATAAGCCCTGGGTTTGATCCCTAGTACCAATGAAAAAAAACTCTATACTATAACTTTGAGGGGTTTTGGGGGGGTATGTAAGTAAATTTTGTTACAATAGGAGAATTATTGCCATTAGTAGCTCAAATATAGCAAGTATTACATGACTTTGTAAAATTTATAGTTTTACATTTACATGTACACACATGTAAAGTATTTCTCATTTGAAAATTAAAGCATTCTTTTACTTTTTACACTAAGATTTCTAACCACATCCTGTTTTTAATTTGTGTAAGATTGAACTAACAGTTCTTTGATTCTGTTTTCATAATGCACAAAATAAAATATACTTACTACAACATAAATATTTCCACCAGAATATTTAATATTGTAGATCCTAATCTGCCTTCTGATTAATGAATTTTAATACTTCTAAAGAAATCAAAAAATGGTTTTATTGGATTAAAAATATTGTAAAATTTTTGAAATGTTTTTATTTGAGGATGCTAACTTGGAAATACAGACACATTTTGTTTTCATCTTAATTGGGAATCTTCACCTTTAAATAGCAATGTAGGACTATACAGCCACCAAAAAGAAAAAACAACAACAAAAAAACCCTGCAAGTAGGATCTTTTGCAAGGTTTGCTTATTTATTTATTTATTTATTTATCTATCTATCTATCTATCTATCTTTTTTTTTTTTTTCCTGTACCAGAGATTGAACTCAAGACCTTGCACTTGAGAGGCAGGCATGGTGCCACTGAGCTAAATCCCCAGCCGCAGGATCTGCTTTTAGATCTCACCTAATTCTGCCATTATGTTTCAAAATATAGTAAAGGAAAAAAACACCTGTATGTGTACAGTGTTCATGCTGCACTGTTCTGGTTGTGTTGCATTCTTTTTTTTTTTTGGTACTCAGGACCTTGCACTTTTGAGGCAGGTGGCGGCACCACTGAGCTAAATCCCCAGCCCTGTTGCATTTTTAGAAAGCTCTGTTCCCTAGCACTTCATATTAACTTTTACAGATTAATGATAACACATCATTATGCGTGTGTGTGTATGCACACATACATATCTATATCTGTCTCATTATATGACAAGTATGCAATATTTGAAAATTGATTATGTCTTGGTGATGTTAAAGGGCAAAATGAATCATTGTACTTTAATGCAGCTCTAGGAAGTTCACCCGGTCATTTTTGTCATTAATCTGATCCTAGCAAATTAATCTTGCCCTGCAATTTTTAATTTTTATTTTCAGGTGAGCTTTTGGGTTGTTAGAGAGATTCTTCATGCTCAAACATTAAAAATTAGAGCAGAAGTTCTGAGCCATTATATTAAAACTGCTAAGGTAAGCAAAACTTTTTTAGTTCAATCATTCAGAAGTATTTTAAGTAAATATTTGTCTGTAATACTTTATTTATTCATTGATACTGGAAAATAAGGCTTGTTGATAAGTCTGGTTCGTTTGTTTGTTTGTTTTTAGTTGAATGCCTATTGAGTGCCTTTTCCTCACCTTTCTCCCTGAGTAGCTAAGTTACATCATCTGTTTCACTGGATAAGTAGTCAGAGGTCAGATTATGCTAAAGTATGATATTTATAAAATATTACACTATTCTAAAGATGATGGAAAGAGATTAAGTAGAGGAGTACATAGCTGTTTTTCAGTTTACTTTCTAAATAAGTCACCCTACCAGACATGTGGAGAATAGGAATTCTTTTATTTTAAAAAGAATAATATAGATGTTACCAAATATGTTCACTGAACAGCTATTGCATGGTGCAGATAATAAATAACAGCAGGAGAGAACAAAAACAGGACACTCCCAAAAAAGACACTGAGATAAACCTGTAACAATTCCAAATTTATGTTACATTCATAAGAGATGTGGTTAATTATAGCCACTTTGGTTCTTTATGATTCTTGTAATACATGCATAACTTACCTTACCTGTGAACAAAGAAGGTCGATTAAAGTGAGGGTACCATGTTTGCAGTTATTATTTCATAACTCTTCCCATAGTTTCCTTGAGCACATGGAAACAATTGTATTCTAACAAATTCTGGGGCACTAGGTGGCAGAGCTTGCCTTCTACATACATGTTATTTTTCAGAAGTGTCATAGAAATTTGGAAACTTTCTTTGTGATAGGGTAGATAAATACTGCTTTTTAGGAAAATAGAAGTTAATGGCTTTTCTCAAAATTGTGAATTTCCATTTTTTTATATATATTTTTTAATTTGCTTCTATGCTCTACTCAAAATCATCAAAGTTTGTTCGTTAAACCTACCCTGTCTTTCTCATCATTAAATGATTCAATTCCTGTTCAGAGTCTTTAAGACTTTAAGTTATATCTGACAGCTTTGCCTTTATCTCAGACCCTAATTTTTCTCTCATAACTGTCTTAAATCCCTCTGTTCTGACTCTCTGCTTTCTATATTCAGTTTGTTATAAAACTAGCAGGACTGCTTTTTCCTTCAGTAGATTGTGCCAATCAGTATTTTCCAGAAAGACCAGTAACATTCTGTAAAAATATGTTATATAGCTTTAAATATAAAATACATGAAGAGATGTAAGGGTTTGTTTCAAGTGATTATAGGGACTGGAAAGTATGAAATCTGTAGGGCATGCCAACAGACTGGAAACTCATACAGGCGTTGAAACAATCTTGCAGCAGAATTTCTGCTTTGTAGATCTTTTTTCATTCTTACAAATATAGAGAGTAACATAGTGCCTAGTCTGCCATAAATGCTTAACATATATTTAATAAATAAAAAGTTCCCCAGCTAGATAATACAACCTTTCTGAAAGTTTCCATCTTGTTTTATGTTTATTTGTTTTTATTTATTTTCTTTTAGTTTTCAATGAAATGCCTCACCTCTGGCATTTTCTAGACCTGGTAGCAGAGTTAGGAAAGTTCTAAGATGACTGGTTTTTAGATCGAACTGTTGGGATGTATGAAGTAGTATGATAAAATCTGAGAAATTAGCAATATATGTCAAATAGAACTCTTGGCAAATTGATGGAACCTGGTGTTAGACATTTTCTGCACACAGAGTATAAAAGCAATGTCCCAGAATGAATAAAAAACAAAGAATCTGAGGTTTGGGGGAGGAGGAAGCAGGAACTTGAGGTCAGTAAAAACCCAGTTTGAACCCTACCCCTTGAATAATGAGAGTATTTGGCAGGAAAGCAAATCAGAATCCTGGGTGGACCCTTTCTTGAAACTTGGAACATAAGGCTGAGGATTAGTAATACTTCATTATAAGGAAAGAGACTGCTCACTAGAACCAGGGTACATGACCATACCAAGTAAACTTGATACTGAGTAATAACTGGTTTTTAAAAACAAAATAATAATAATAATAATTATTATTATTATTATTATTTTTGGTACTGGGGATCAAACTCAGAACCTTGCACTTGTGAGGCAGGCGCCAGAACCACTGAGCTAAATCCCTGGCCCTTGTTAATATTATTTTATTGATGCATTTTAGGTATACAATGTAATGACATTCATCATTGGAAATTTGCACCTTTACATAATCTCTCTTGGTTCTTATTTTTTCTCCATCCCCCTGCCCTCCCTTCAACCCCTCCATCCCTCCCTATTTACAAAGACTTTGTTTCCATTTTTTCAGTTTCTCATTACTTCCATTCCCTCCTTTCCCTTCCCCACCCCTCCCACTTCCTCTTCCCCTTTGCCCCTTTTCTTCCTATTTCACATTATCTATTATACCTTTTAGTCCTTATTTACACTTTCAGTTTCTCACACTAGAGAAATTATTTGGTATTTACACATGTGTCCTGTTTGCCTCAATGTTCATTTAGCTATAAGTGCCTCTAATTTCTCATTTTTTATGGCTCAGTAGTACTCCATTTTATTTTTAAAAACCCACATTTTCTTTATCCAGTCTCCAGTTGATGGCTATTTGGACTGCTTCCAAGTTTTAGCTATTACAAATTGTGCTGCTATGAACATGAGTGCACGTATGTCACTGTGGTATGATTCTTTTAATTCTGTGGGGAAAATACCCCGCAGGAGAATAGCTGGGTCAAACGGGACTTCCAGTCCTAGTTCTTTGAGGTATCTCCATACTGATTTCCACAGTGGTTGCACCAGTCGACACTCCCACCAGCAGTGGATCAGGGTTCCTCTTTCCCCACAGCCCCGCCAGCATTTGTTATTGGTTGATTTCATTATAGCAGCCATTCTTTCTGGAGTGAGGTGGGAATCTCAGTGTTGTTTTCATTTGCATCTCTCTCGAATGACTAGTGATGTTGAACATTTTTTCATGTATTTATTTGCTATTTCTACTTCTTTGTCTGAGAAATGTCTTCATTTCAGATGCCCATTTTCGGATTGGGTCTTTAAATTTGGGAGGTCTGATCTTTTTAAGTTCTTTATACATTCGGGATAGTAGACCTTTGTCTGAGGAAGAGCAGGTGAAGATTTTTTCCCACATTGTGGGTTGTCTCTTCACACTGCTGGTGGTTTCTCTTGCTGTGCAGAAGCTTTTTAGTAAGAAGAGATCTTGTTGATTGTTTGTGCTAGTTCACGGGCAACTGAGGTTTTGTTCATAAAATCTTTTCCTACACCGATGTCTTCAAGAGTTCTACCTAACCTCTGTTCCAGCCAGCGTTTCTATTTTAATATTTAGATCATTAATCCATTTCGATTTTAGTTTAGTGCATGGTGAGAGAAAAAACTGGTTTTTAAAAAAAATATATTACCCAGTTAGAGGTAGATTTATTCCCAGAATTTGGAGACAGTCAGTGGTCAGGGTAAAAGATGCAACTTATTATAGGCCAAAAACAACTTACTGTAAAGATAGTAGGTACTCTAAAGACAAATCTCAGCAATCAAAGTAATTAAATCCTAGAGCACTTATCAATTGTCTAAATTGTGCTTGTCAATCTGTATTTGTCTTGTATTCATTTTTAAACTTTTTATTCCTCCCTCCTCTTTTCTTAAATCCTCAGAAACTGTATGAGCTGAATAATCTTCATGCACTTATGGCAGTGGTATCTGGCTTACAGAGTGCCCCAATTTTCAGGTTAACTAAAACATGGGCGGTAAGTAATCTTCCTTAGTTAATAAGGTTAATTCTTTTTTTGTTTTGTTTTGTTTTGGTACCGGGGATCAACCTCAGGACCTTGTGCTTGGGAGGCACGCGGTGGCACCACTGAGCTAAATTCCCGGCCCTTTTGTAATTGTTAGTATGATTAATTTTATGGTAGTAGATAAGTTTTAAATTACTCTGTACATTGTTCTTTGAACTGTGCATTTTCTTTGAAGTGTTCGATCAGATTTGTCAGGTAATTTGTAGGCAGCTTACAATTTGGAGTTTGGTTTATGCTCTTTTGAGAATCATTTTTATAACCTTTTTAATCATCTTTGATAATACAGTGTTTCATATTCACCTGATGGGAAATTATGAATGCAAAAAATGACATTTAATCATGTTAAGATTATGATTTTAGTAAGTTTGAGAAAAATTTAAATTCTAAGTTTGAAAAAATCTAGTGATTTACACTTCCACTAGTTTTTAGTCATAAATCTGAGGGTTTTTTCCTTACGACTGGTGGAAAATCTGATGGTAAACATGAAATCATTATATTGTTCTACATTTTTTTGTTTGTTCGGTACCGGGGATCAAACTCAGGATCTTGCGCCTGCGAGGTAGGCGGCAGAACCACTCAGCTAAATCCCTGGCCCTATTCTATATTTTGATGCTATGTTAATCATATTTGGTTTTATCACTTTGACAAGGTAAAGTATGAATTTTGATATCTGCAGCTACAAAGGCTAATCAAAACATGATATGTGTTTAAATTTTTTAAAATTTATTTCAGTACAGGAAAAAACACATTGCCATTAATCTCCCTCAAAGTATTCCCCCTCACTTCGAATATAGTTATCCCATCATCATTCTTGCCACTTTCCTTTTTTTGTTGTTGTTGGTACTGGGGATCAAACTCAAGACCTTGCAGTTGCAAGGCAGGCATGGCACCACTGAGCTGAATCCCCAGTCCTCTTGCCACTTTCTGAAGCAGTTCTAGAAGTCTTTTGCAAATGTCTTTGCAAGGTTGAAAGAAAAAAAAATAGTGAATGCCACTGCTAGTGCCATTCATGGAAAGGCAGGCTGGTAAAAACATAATACCGATTCCTTATTCACCAAATCCGGCACTTATATAATTTCTGGCTCTTCAGTCAAAATGCCCATAAAAGGTACATGTTTTGAATCGGTTCAAAACCTGAGGCAGCCACAACAGTGTAACTGAAAACACTCAGAATCACTATATAATGAGAATTGTGTTTAACCAGAGTTGGGTTTTTTCTACAAGTGTTTGTACCAGAGGGATCCAAGATAGCACAAGAGATCAAAAAGGAAGTATCTGAGTTGTTGTACTGATAAACTAAGCCAGGTAAATTAGGGAGATGGAACAGTAGTAGTGGTTACTGGATTAGAAGTCCCAGTGGAGTCAAGTAATTTACTGTATTCATGATTACAGAAAGAGGGGCTGGGGATTTAATGGTGCCACTGCCTGCCTCACAAACGCAAGGTCCTATGTTTGACCCCCAGTACCAAACAAACAAACAGATTACAGAAAGAGTAGAAGCTGAAAGTGGTGAAGAGATCAGATGATTGGAAAAGTCAAGAAATTAGAAATCTCAGCATATTGGGAATATTATCTCTGTGAAAATTGCAATCAGTAATATTTTTAATAAGAATAATTTTGATTCATTGCCTCTTTTTTTCCAATTTATAAAGTCTTCTAGATATAGAGGGAAAATGACTTGTATGTCAATAAATGCCAGTAACATAATTGTTACAATCTAGTGTTCTCTTGTTTAATACAGTAGCCACTAGCTACATGTGGCTATTAAATTTAGATCATTAAAATTAAATTAAAAATTCAGTTCCTCAGTCATAGTAGCCACATTGCAAGTGCTTAACAGCCACATGTTGACTGGTGACTGTTGTACTGAATGGCACATAGGTTTCCATCATCACACAAAATTTTGCTGGACAGCAGTCATCTAATGCCTTGAACTTGATAAATGGTGGAAGGTTTTAGGGAGGAAAGCATGATGATAAGTTGGAAGAGATTGTGAAGAGCAAGGAACAAAGATGTTTAGAGAAAAGGTTAGAGGTGGGGATTCTGCAGAGGAGGAGCATGAGTTTCAGAAGGTACACTTGGAATGGTTTTATTGGGTCAAGTTAGAAAATATTTTATGAGTTTCATATCTACTGGGTTTTAAATTTTTAGTGAATAAAGAATTGAGTTTTTTCTTTTTGTTTTTTTTTTGGGGGGGGGGGTTGGTACCGGGGATCCAACTTGGGAGCTTGTGCTTGCCAGGCAAGGCATGGTGCCATTGAGCTACATCCTCAGCTTGTTTTGTTTTGTTTTGTTTTTTAACTGATAAAGGAAATGTGTCAAAAAGTACAACATATGCAATAAGGAAAATAGTAGGAATTTTCTCTTTAACATCAAGGAAAAGAATACCCATCTTACTGTTTCTATCCATTATAAAAAAAATAAGAAAAACTTTTTCTCTGAGTAATAGGGTTTTTTTTATGATGTTCACTTACCTACAAGACAACCCAAAATAATTTTCAGAAAATTATTAAAAACAATAAAATTTCTCCTTAAAAATTGAACATAGAATTTTCAAGCAATCTAACAGTTCTTCTTCTGGGTATATACCTAAAAGAATTGAAAGCAGAGACACAGATTTTTGTTTGTTTGGTTTTTTACTAGCCGTTTGTCTGCTTGTTTGCAATACTGGGGATTGAACCCAGGGCACTGAGCTACATCCCCAGTCTTTTTTTTATTTTGAGACAAAGTCTCACTAAGTCACTGAGTTGCCTAGGCTGGGCTTGAACTTGGGATTCTTGTTCCTCAAACTTCCAGAATGTTGGAATTACAGGTGTGAACCACCACACCTGGGTCACAAACAGATAGCTTTTGCATCAGTGTCAATAGCAACATTATTCACAGTAGACAAAATGTAAAAACTCAAACATCTATATAAGTAGATGAATAAATGAAAGATACATACATATAATGGAATATTAATTCAAAGGAAATTTTGTGATAATCCTATACCACGGGATAAATTTGGCAAGTAATTATGCTGTGTGAAATGAGAGGACTTACAAGGACAAATATCATTTCACTTCTTTGAGGTACATAGAATAGTCAGAATTACAAAGACAGAGTAGAATGGTGGTTGCCAGGGACTGGGACAGGTGAGAATGGGGAGTTATCATTTAATAGATACAGAGTTATTATGGTATATATCTTAATTGTCCCTCAAAGGCTCATGTGTAAAAGGATTGGTCCTAGACTGGTGGTTCTGTTGGGAGCTTCTGCACCCTTTGGGAAGTGAGGAGGTGTAACCTAGTAGAAGAATGTTAGATCATTGAGGGGCATGCCTTTGAAAGGATAATGGGACTCCAGCCTCTTACCTTCTTTGTCTTTCCTTGCAACCATGAGATGAGCACCTGTGCTAAAGTACTCCCCACCATGATGTACTGCTGTACCACAGGCCCAAAGCTATCGGCCAAATGACCATGAACTGAAGCCTTAAAACTGGAAATTCCTTATGTGAAAGAATATATCCATTACAAAATTACTTTCAGTAGTTAAGACATGGAAGCAACCTAATGGACTGTGGATAGATGATTGGATAAAAGAGTATGGTAAAGTACTGTCAGCCTTCAAAAGAAGGAAATTTTGTCCCTTGCAACTACATGAATGAACTTAGAGACCATTATCATAAGTGAAATAAACCTAACAACAGAGAAATATACCATGTCTCACGTGTGGGATCTCAAGTCTAACACATAAAGGGAAAGAATAGAAGGATAGTTTGGGAAGTGGAAGAAATTGAGAGATGTTGGTCAATGGGTACAGTGTTTCAGTTATGTAGAATGAATAAGTTCTGGAGGTCTGTACACAGCATGGTAACTGCAGTTAATTCTATGTTGTCTACTTGAAATTTGCTAACAATAGATATTAAAGATATTTTTAGTATATATATATATTTCTACTATACACAAAAGGTAACTATGAGGTGATGGGTATATTAATCAGATTGGTACACATTTCACTATACATATCTCAAAACATACATTTTAGGGCCGGGGATTTAGCTCAGTGGTGCCGCTGTCTGCCTCACAAGTGCAAGGTCCTGTCCTGAGTTTGATCCCCAGTACCAAAAAGAAAAAAATACATTTTAAATACAATTTTTATTTGTCACTTATATCCTAAAAGTACTGACAGGAAAAGATTGATTTCAAGTATAGGAGGAAGAGGTCCTGAAGAAGAAAGTGGAAGGCAGGGACATGGGCCCTGTAACAGATATCATATTTATTGTATAATTTGAGCAGTGTAGGATTTGAGCAAGTTTAGATGTATCTACCAATAAAAGCAGAATAAAGAAGCCAGAAATAGTTCCTTGCTTTAGAATGCTGATGTGACAAATAGAAACATTGTAAATCCATGAAGAAATAGATTATTTACTAATTGGAACTGGAAAATAGGTTATTAAGACAAAAAATAAAATCTAGCCCATGTATCACCTATAAAAATCATTGTCACATGAATGTGAAATGCAAAACTAAAACTTTTGGGTGAAAAATGGGTGATTATCTCTGATTTGGCATGGTATAGATAGGGATTTTGTTTTTAGATAAGATGCGAAATGTTCCAGAAATGAAAGAAAAGATAGATATATTTTCTGTTCATCAAAAGATACTTTCGAGAAAATTTAAAAGACAACAGTTGGGATAAGTACAACAGCTGTAACTGATCAAGAATTTGTTAATAAGAATTCTTAATAAAACAAAAAGAAAAAATTAAAATGAGCATTATAAAGGTATTTTTTAGAAAAAAATGTATACATGGAAGCAATAATAAATTATTTTTTGTGGAAGACTACAAACAATGTATGATACTCTGTAGTCAGAATGAAATTAAATGTAAGAAAACGATGAACCCAAGATTTAGGATTACTGTTACTAGTTACTTCTTAAAGATAATCAAGGGAATTGGATATAGAAGGAGCACATAGGTGGATTAATTATTGGTGTGCAGTTCTTATGTAGGAAGGTAATGCATGTATATTTGTTATAAAATTTTAAAATAATTTAAACTCATACCAAGAACAAATAATAGTTGATGTCATGATCAAAGGATTATAATCTGTACCTGGAGTCAAAGATGAATAAATATTTATGCAAATAAGTATGTTCATAACTTGTTTTACAAGAATACAAGTCAAGGCATGAGAGGTAATCTGGGAGTCTTGCATTTCTTACAGTGACTGACATGAGCAGGCATATTGGTTTTATGTGTGTGTGTTTTATTTTTTGAGGTCGGGTCTCGCTATAGTTCAGGATGGCCTTGAACTTATGGCAATCCCCCTGCCTTAGCCTCCCAAGTGCTGAGATTACAGGCATGCACCACCACATCCAGCGTGAGTAGGCATATTGTGACATTAGGTGGATAAAGAATCTGTCCAGAAATCTGTAGGTCTCCTTTTTCAGTAATACAAATGAAAATATGAAGAGCTTTTCCCCAGTTATCATACTCTTGACCAAAAAGACTGATCATGAGAGAAACCTGGAGAATTATAACGTGAAATACTTTATTGTTGTTTTTTCTAGTGGGGAGAATACAATGAAATAATATAAAGATAATATAAACAGAAAAAAACTCAAAGAAAAGAAAGTTAAGACTTCATAGTTATATCAAGGTTCTGAGTATCAACAGGGAAACAGTATATTGGAGTGGTTCTTTATATTCTTCTGTTAATTTTACCACATACTGAATTGAATCTTACTAATCTGGTTACTGATTTATTATGAAAATTTCAAAAGTAGATTTTTACTACAATTTTGTGTTTCATATGTAGCAAGATAAGTTAAGAGTTCCAAATAATGTGTTTCTCTTAGTATTTGTGTTTTTGAGTGTGTGAATTATGATTGATTTATTGTTATTCCTACAACATTCTGTAACTGTTTTGCTTGTCTGAATACTTTGTTATTCAAAACAGTTGATTTGATTGACTGATAGGAAGCAGTTTTGTGTCTTATCTGGGAATGCTACTAAATTGTGTTGAAGTGGGTAAAGGGGAAGATTATAAAACTATTTAGACACTGGAATTTTATCTAAAACATTAAAGCAAAAGACTCATTGAAATCATATTTTAAAGAAGGAATCCTATTCATTTTTGTGATAGAGATTATCTGAAGGTAATTTGCATATTTGAGACACTTAAAATTGCTTAGTCATGAAAAGTAGATTCCAACTGTACTATTTGTAGTATGGGGAAGACTAGATTTCAGAATATTCTGTCTCCAGAGCCAGACTTCAAGACCTAGAAAAACAGACAAGTATTTATGAGTGCATGACTCGAGAGCACTAGTATATTCTGGTACATGCTAATCCTGTGGTCATCTTTGAATCATAGTCTGCTCATCTCTAAATGCTCAAATTTTTCTGTCAAACTCGTAGGAAAAGTAAATGAGAATTATATAGGGGAAGTGTTTTGCATGCTGTAAAATAACACCAATATTTTGACATGAAATAAAGTGAAGTCTTGTTACATACTAATGAAATAGTTATGTCATCCAGTTAAAGAAGAAAACTTTTACCAGTCTCTGCTATGATTAAAAAAAATTTTCTGAACCTTTATATTGTGGGTGACTGACCAACCTTTTATGTCTTACTCCCCTTGATTATCTCTGTTGATCTCAAATAGCACTCACTACAAACTTACTCTTCAGGCCTCTTAAGTTACGCTATTATATGATAAAGTGGTGTCAAAACTCCAAAATGTAGGGAGTCAGAAATTTTATTAGGACTGGCCATCATTAAAGTTGTTGAGAAAAATTGTTACTTATCACAAAATTCAGTATTTCTTTATGATTATGCAAGAATGATCTTATCTTTGAGGAGGTAGTCAATAAAATATTTAGGCATTGTAGGTGAATGAGAATGTATAATTTTAATTTACAAAAATGATCAAATTGCTTTATCATTTAAAATAGTAAAGATGAGAAATATAATGTATTATTTACTAGTTAATTATGTACATATAAAGGCTATTTTACAAGTAATTTGAGTTATTAATATATCTGATTTTGTTTTATTTGTATACTAAGCAACATAAAATTAAAGAAGGTATAACTTTTAAATTAAAATCCAAATTTATAGTAAATGCAACTTCATATCTTTGCTACAATAAAATGGAACTTGTAAATAACTTAGGCTTTTCTGTTTGTTTTTTAGTTATTAAGTCGAAAAGACAAAACTACCTTTGAAAAATTAGAGTATGTAATGAGTAAAGAAGATAACTACAAAAGACTCAGAGACTATATAAGTAGCTTAAAGATGACACCTTGCATTCCCTATTTAGGTGAGTTATGTTACTGTGTTTATTATTCTTAGTTGTTGCTCTTCCTTAATTAGTACATAAGAAATTCAAGGCAATTTTTTAGTTTATGTATTTTGAAAATAAATTACTACAAGATTGCTAAGCTGAAAAAACTGACAAAAGTTGTCAGCCTCATTACCTGGAATGTATTTTCATATTGATTTAGACTTTTATCCTTAAAGTTTTTCATAGAAATGAGCCATATGGTGAAAATGATGTACTTTAGTTGCTTTAGTAATGCTTTTAAAGATTGAAACAGTAGTTTACAATGAAATTTAATACATTAACTGAACGCATTGATCGAAGTTCTTAGATTGTTGGCAGATATTTTACTGTGAAAAGTTTGGGTAAAATCAGTTTACTGTGGAAATTTACCTTAGTGCACTGACAGTTCTGTAAATTTGTCTTAACTATTATTTTAACAATGTTTATAGATTCCAAGAACTATTTAACCAATAATGTCATAAGATTATTTTCAACAAAATGTGAATAAGGCTAGGTGTTAGGTTTTAAATGAAAATAAGTCCTGTACAAACTGTCCTTTTAAATTTGTCTATAAATTAAATATAAACGTTATATATTCCTAGCATATATTAAGTTGATTTGATACTCTGTAGAGTATTGAAGTGATAAGTATTTGTTTCTAGTATGTATGGCTCCCATTTTTGCTCTTTTATCTAACTGCCCAAACTTAATTTCAAGATAAATACTTATGAGAGTAATTGAAAATTGTTATTTAAGAAACTCCACAAACTTTGAAGTCTTTACAGTACCAGTGTTTAGAAGATGAGGTGGGGACAAAGATAATGGATACACATCCATTCAGCTGCTTAGTTCCTGGAGAAAAGTTGAATTCATCCAATATTATGGAACCTCCTAGGATTCCACTGTGTGTGGGGGGGAAGTGTCCAGTGTTGAAAGCGAAATACCGTTAAGCATAATACAGTGGATGGCCACTACATGGTATATGTTTGCACTTTTTTTGGAAACAGGGTTTCACTATGTCTCCCAGGCTGTCCTCATACTCTTGATCCTCCTGCTGAACCTCTTGAGTAACTAGAATTACAGACGTGTACTCCCACACCCAGCCACGTGTTCTGCTTTTTAACCGTAATCTTTTTTGGGGGGGGGATTGTACCTTTTTATAATACATCTTGGTTCTTATTTTTTCCCCATTCCTAGCCCTCCCTTCACACCCTCCACCCTTCCCTATTTACAAAGACTTTATTTCCATTTTTTCCATTTCTCATCATTTTTTCCTTTCCCTTCTTTCCTTTCCCCTGTGCCTCCCACTACCCCTACCCCTTTACCATAATCTTGACTGTCCCCATACTTGAATATATAATTTGGGGGAATAGAGGTTTTTAAAAAATAACTTCATAATTCACAAGAATAAGGTTTTTATTGCATGAAGAACATTATAGTAGGCTGAAAATTGGCAGTCCTTAGTTTCAGAGGGGCTCTGCTGTAGCTCTGCTTTCAAGACATAGAATTGTCTTCGTTGAAGTTTGTTCTGTTTTTCTAGAAAAAGCATGCACAGGATCAGAATCATGTTCTTCAGGCTGGATGGGTCCATATTGATGTCTTTTAATTCATTCATTTTTCACAGTTGAAAAAACTAAGGTCCAGAAAGATAAAAGACCTGATTCAGAGTCCTAAGACCTAATTAATGAAAAATCTGCCATCTAAAGTCTTAGTTTAGCATCCTCCTTTTATACCTGCTAAACTCTCATGCTAAGTTGTACTGATTGTATGAATTGTATGATTCTTTTCTTATCATTGTCTTTTTCACACTAAATTCCATAATTTGTATCTTCTAGTAAAAAGTATTTTTATTGAAAATAACAAAAATCCTTTCGTTCAAGAGTATTTGTTTTATATTTTCCCATAGTGGTGATTTTATATGAATTTTGAAACTGTGCATGTGTATATATGCACATTATGTATACATATTGATGTACACTCATGCATATACAGAGAGATAAAAAGGGAAGAAACAAACTAGCAAAGTTGTTTCTCTGGAATCTGGAAAGCCCTGGTACCTGAAACAAACATAGTCATTCCTTTGCGTTAAAGCAGATAAGGCAAATACTGAGGTATAGATGTTAATTTGGACAAAATATTAGAATGATTCTATATCATCAGTTTAATTTCTAGTAATTTCCTTTTGTGTCATCTCCCACATTATTTAAATAGTACTGAGGACTAAACTCAGGGCCTCATATGTCTTAAATGCTCTACCGTTGAGCTATATCCCCAAGTCTTTTTCACTTTTTATTTTGAGACAGAAGCTTGTTAAGTTTCCCAGGCTGGCCTTGAACCTGAAATCCTCCTGCCTCAGCTGCCTGAGTAGCTGAGATAACAGGCATATCACCAGCTAAGTTCATGAGAACTTAGAATTGTGCTTTTTCTTCTGTCACCATATGGTTCACTTAAGCTGATAAAAAAAGTATCCTGTTCTTACTGGGTTTTTGTTTGCTGTTTGTTTAGTATGTTGTTACCTCCCTCTTCACTCAGAAATTTTCTCAATATGGTCACCATCAATGTCATAGTTGAAACATTTAATAGGTATTTATTTCTCAAGCTTCATCTTAATTTTATGATTAAGATGTTAGTTATTTCTCTTCCCTGAAATTCTTCACAAGCAGCACCACTCTAATTGGTTTACCTTCTGCACTTCTGGCTTTTATTTTATTGATTTATCTTTCTCTGTCTTTCTCTTCGATGTATTCTGGGTCTCAGTCCACTTCTTTGCTTATTCTCCGTAGAGTGGTCTCGTTCAGATTCTTTCTATATATTTTTTATTGACTCCCAAATCTAGGCTAGACCTTGTATTTCTAGATTTCTACTTAGTTCTTGAGGCCTCCTAACATTTTAGATTCTAAAATATTGATGGATTAGTAAGTAATTTCAACACAAGTGGAAATGACCTCCTCATCTTTTCCTCTTTTCCAAACCTGAGCCTCTCCTTATCTTTTAGCTTAGTCTGCCAGTGATCACATCAGTGTAGCATTATCTGATGCTTATAAAAGTAAGCATTTAGTAAATATTTGTTGGTTCAACTAACTAAATGCCTTTCTGGCTCTTCCCATTGTTCCTGCAATGTCAATTGTTTTAGTTTCTGTTTTAATAGTTTTAATACAGTAAATGCATTTGTGTGGCCTGTTTCCGTTAATGAACCTCTGTTTCCTATATTCTATAGCAAAAGGTGATACATTTGTCTGAGATCTACCTAAGAATTAGAAACGAAAAAAGAAAAAAATGGCAAAAACCTTAAAATGGTAAAATGGAGAACATACACTTTAGCATCTGCACAATTTTATATATTGGTAGTCTTCATATCTTTCATCCTTGTACTGTTACATGGAGAAACATGTAGATTATGGAATGATTATGGCCCACTTGGCATAAAATTTAGGTAGACTTGAGAAATGAAACATTTGTCAGATAAGTTACTCTGGCTCACTTATAGTTTGTTTCAAGCATGAAAATCATCCTTTGAGTGTAGTGAGTTTTATATCACATCTTCAGAGTAAATCTGTTCAAAGCATACTTGCTTTTCTTAAAAATGTGAAACATATCTCTTGTACAGGTTTTTGACTGCTTGATTTACATCATAGACGTCTCATTTTTAAAATTCCTGGCCTTCAGTAGTGAATTATGTTGAAGAATGAAAATTTAACATTAGTTAATGTTTACTTTTTTTATATTTTGTTCTCATTTAAATTTAATTAGGCTGTGATTTTTAAAATTTAACTTAACCTTGATTTCAGAATCTTTTCCTATTCATACAAAAACAGACCTATTTAATTACCAAAAACTTAAAGCATTTATAAGATGCTGTACATTTGATAACGCAGAACTTGGCCTGAAGATGTTTCAAAGATAGTACTCTTAGTGAAAATGGTTGCCTCATTTAACTATTCTTTGGGTGTACAAAATGTGCATTAATCCATTGTATTTACTAGAGATTCTTAGGGAAAGAATTTTTCAACCCAAAGAATCTATAGTGCAGGTTGAAAACCTAACAGCCAATCCATTTCTTAACATGAGAAAGGTAGTCCAAACTAAGTATTTTTTTTACTAAAAATATTTATCAAATACAACCATTCTTTGTGAAACCTAAAAAGAGGATAGGGATCAAATGGTGATTAAACTCTTTATTTCTGTACTGCTAAATGTATCTGTAACTCAATATGGATTAAATTATAAGAAAATGTAGTCTTGGCTCTCTGCTCGTCTTTTGAAAAATTGTCTCTTCTGTTGGTTTGCATTCAAGGTAAAAATTAGTCAGTTTGGACAATATAGTGAAAAATTCTTAGAACAAAGATGCAATTTGTCTACAGAGGAATAGTTTGGCAAATCTTAAGGAAAAAATTGCTTTATATGAGAATTATGGTTTTAAATCTGAAAATCATTAACAGTACTCATTTGTTCTTGTCATTGGAAAATAAATAATCTTAAGGGGCTTGTTGAAGAATTTGGCACAGGAAGTTTTGCTTTGCTGCAAAGAGAGAAAATGAATGTCATATAAAAATAATGTGGTTATATTAAACATGGTAAATACTCTTTCCTGTGTATTTGTCAAACCTCATTTCTACTTTATTCATATAATAGGAAGATGCAGTAGTAGCTCAACCAAATTAGGATGCTTGCTGGGAAAGAAGGCATATTTTTAAAACTATGAAAATAAATAAATTGTTTTAGTACTATATATTGCTTATTGAGTGGAAGCAGAATGTTACATGGAAGTTTTTGTAAAATCTCTAGCCCTTCTGCAGGACACATACATTGCATCTATATATGTAACGCCTCCTTTCTCTTCCCTCTTTTATCAACCTAAAATGTGAAGTTATCATAAGAGGTTTTTAATTAAGTTTTTGTTGTAAGAAAAGGCTTATAACTTTGTGTAATATAGTGCTCCCTCCCCAAAATACCTGCTTTTATTTCTGTAATGATATATTCATTAATGTACCTCATCC